CATCTGTTCTTGAGTTGTCACCGAAAGCTGTCTCTTATACACATCTAGATCTGCAGAATGGAACATACCCATACACTACTTGACGTGACCCGCTGAATAAGGATGTAATCTGTCCTGGAGCTTGGATGGGTTTGGGGGCATTATCATCAAACTGTTGCCAGTTCACGCTCACATTGCTCAATGCAGGTTGTCTTGCTTTTAATAACTGACCCTTGACCTATTAGATTTACGACATTTCAAAAAGTCTGATAGTAAAATAAACAATGAAATAAATATTTTTTACCTTAAAACATATGAATTCATCGTATTTTGAAATAAGGTAATATTTCATTTCTTACTTTTCTTTCCCATTTTGACTTTGTCGATGTATCAAAGAATTCAAAGGCGCCTGTTCCAACACGAGCTATCGCCCTCAACAAGTGTTTGTTGGCGGTTTTGCTAAAAAGTACATTTATTTATAGTAATTTTAATGTTATGATATTAGTAAAAATCTACAATCACTTAAAAAATCATTTATAAAAATTTACCATTTTATATTTATGGGTTATTTTCAATGACCTTTCAGGTACACGACATGCATGGGTGAGCTATGCAGTTGTAAAGCCCCCAACATCAGGGCTTAGAGGCAGCTGGGGACCAAAGTGGGGTCAAATGGCAAGTTGCAAATGGTTTAGGAGTAAATATCTTAGAAGCTTCTACCTTAGTGGTCTAATATCAACCATTATAGGGTACAGCAAATAGATGATGATTTTTATCACTCATTTTTTTTGTTTTGTATTGTGGGCACAGTGGATTAAAAAAGTGGTGTGCCTGTCCCTGTTCCCCAAAAACGAGTACATTATAGTCTTTAGATTCTAATTTTAACTTTTTCATCAGTCTGTTGTTTTTACAGGTCTGGGCCCATGTAGGGGCTATAGTAGGTCCCTCGTACTTTACTTCCTTTGGCTTCCCCCTACCTCCCAACACAATCAACACTCTGAGCATGTGTATATGTTACTGCATCTGGCCTCAATGTAAATTTTTTTACTTCTATTTCCACAACAGTTCTTTGAGAAGTGAATGCCCCATGAGCGTTCCCTCAGAACTGTTGTTTTCCCTTAAGTTTTTCTCCCATTGACCAACTTACCTTATCCCAAATGTGAAAACTCTGTTGTTTTTAGCATTGAGTTGAATGGCATTAAGAGTTGATTCCTCATTGTTGATGTGGCCGTCGGATATCAGGAAGATATTACGCAAACAATTTGTATCACTCAGCAAGAAGTAAGCATGCAGAGGGCGCCACACTTCAGTGTTCCCCATTTTTGCTTGGACATTACGAATAAACGTCTTAGCAACAGAAATATTGGCGTTGGTCGCTGGTTGACTGGCAGGGAACAGTTCGTCAAAATCTTGGAAATAAATTATGGAACCAGACATTTTGAAAATTACATTGTAAAAGATTTTTTAAAAACATTAGGAAGCAAACAACATGGTTTACAATATATATATTAAAAATAATGATAAAAGAATGTTAACAATGATTATGTTGCTGTTGCTGATGTATCTACTGCTACTGATACTGTTGTAGCTGTCGCTGCTGCCTAGGATGTAGCTGCTGCCACTGTTTTCGTTGAAGCTGCAGCTGCTGCTGCCTAGGATGTAGCTGCTGTCACTGCCTATGTTGTAGCTGCTACAGCTTTTGTTGTAGCTGCTGCTGCTGTTGTTGCTGCTGATGATGATGTTGTATCTGCTGCTGCTGTTACTAATGCTGTTGTAGCTGTGCTGCTTCTGTTGTAGCTGCTGCTGCTGTTACTGTTGCTAATGATACTGCAGCTGCTGCTGCTGTAGCTGTTGTTATCAGTGGTTTTATCTAGAAATCTTGAAGTGGGGTGCTCATGGAGGAGAGGTGGTGCGAAGGTGAAGTGGATTGCTGAATGATCAATTGAGGGGGGCCAACTCGCAAAATATGGTGATTTTAGGTGATTTTTAACTAGTGGACCATTAATTTTTTGGGGTCGACTGTGGGGGAGGGGCGTGCTCCCCCACGCATCCCCTGAATATGCTACTGGCTGTTGTTGCTGATGATGAAGATGACGATGATACTGCAGCTGTGCTGCTGTTGGTGCCAATAATAATGTTGCTGCTAATGATGATGATGACTCTGTTGCAGCTGATCTTGGAGATTTTTTTTCTTTGCTTATAATGGAAATGATTTGAGGCAATAAATCATACTTGTTCCAAAAGTAATGATGTTGAACGTTGCTTCAGTTGGAAGATTCAGAAGATTCATCATCAGGATTTTCTTTGCTTGCACCAGATTGTCGCCTTTCATTGAGTTTGACAAGTCAAGCACTAACAGGATCTCCGGTGAGTCATCGCTTTCACTCTCAAATTCAGGGTAGAATGTCAACATACAGGCCTAGAAAATGATTACATTATAAGAAAATTTGTGTTTTAAATATTATCAGATATTACTTCTGTATGTGCAGTATACATTTGTTATTAAATATATACCCGAGTAGGATGTAGCAGGCAACCTGACAGGTACCAATTTACAATTCAGGAAAACTCAAGAAAACAAGTGAAAAGAAGATTAAAACTCTGACTTTGGGGTTGGAAAAACAAAGCTGTTCGGACTGCACCAAGTAGCTTCCACCTAAAAAGACTAAGGAGGGAGAGAGAGTACCAAAGATGTGAATAAAAATCCGAATATAACTTAACACTACCTGGGAATCGACCTTGTCTGGGTGTTTTTCAACCCACATTCTAGGCACGTGTATCTCAGCCAGGTCAATCAGTAGCTGGAAGCCATCCGCCAGTGAGACTTCCTTTTCCAATTCAACTGTTGCTTTTGTGGCTGATTGCTGGAATATAATCACAACAAAATATAATAATAAACATTAAACAATCACTTATACAGAAGGTCAGTTAATCAGACTGTTCATCAATCAATTATACCAATCAATTAATCAACCAATTAACAGATCAATGCATTAATCAATATATTAATCAACCAAGTAATTAATCAACAAACCAACCAATCAATCAATCATTCAGTCTGTCAGTCAATCAGTGTGATTCAATTAGAAATCAATCTATTAATCAGTCAACTTATCAACTAATCAGTATGTCATGAAATAAATTCAGTCAGCCAGTCAATCAATCAATCAATCAATCAATCAATCAATCAATCAATAACACAAATATCTATTATCTAATCAATCAAATAATCAGTAATTCAAAATATTAGTCAGTGGGCAAAATGGTAGTCAGGATCAATCAAGTAATCAATGAATTAATCAATAGATCAATTATAAAACCTTTTTAAAAAGTCAACATAGGAAAAAAAAGTCTTGGTTGCTTCAGTAGCAAGAGACAAATCTTAAAAAAGAAATCCAACAAGCAATATTTGTACACTTGGTTTTTTTTACCTTCATTTTGATTTGATGAGTTGGAGACTTGATAGAACGAATATCATAAGGCATCTCTACTGCAATCTGGATGGATGTTTCTCTGCAGATTTCAAAGAATATTAAGTAAATGTTTTCTTCATCCTTCTTGAATTCACTTAACACTAGGTCACATCTCTGTAAAATTTCCTGGCGGAGGCGGAATTGAGAGACAACACTACCCTAGGGCGTGCCCTCAGGATATTTTGGTTTTCTAGATGCATGGAAATAATATCTGAGGCGTTTTGGGCGATCACTAATTTTTTTTTCTTTCTTTTTTTATTTTACTTTCAAAAAGAAGTGGGGAAGGGGTATAGGGCCTGACTTACTATTTAAGGAAATATAAGACTATAACGTTTTGTTTAGATAACATATTTGTAGTTACCCTGTAGGCTGGCCGGAAATTTTTGTAGTGTCCATCTGTTCTTGAGTTGTCACCGAAAGAGCACTGTCTTTCTTCCACGGAGCTACGCTTCCCGGCAGATTAAACACAATTTTCCCAGAATCCACTGCTAGTTCCGCTACATACGTAATTTTAATTAACACTTCTGAGTTTGGAGGCAAATTTCCAACACTAACCGTGAAGACATCCTTTACAAAAAATAAGTCAAACAAACATTTAATTGATAAATGCAAATAAACAGTTGGAAAAAGAATTATCAAGAATATCAAGCAATGATGTAGATGAAAGCCAATCTTTGGAGTAAATAAAAAAGTTTTGTTTTTATGTTGTACTTTGGAATTTCCTAAGACAAGGAGGGGTGTTTGACGATATAATCCAAAACATTATAGGATACATATATTTAAAGGTTTAAAAACAGGGATAAAGAAGTGTCCAAAGCCTGTTTTTAACAAAATTATAAATAAAAAACTACAAATAATAAATATATTAATCAAACATTAAACTTTATAAATGTTTACTTAAACATCAACATCATTATCATCATATTATTGTACCTTGAGGTACTGTGATAAAAAAGATGACACAACTTGTAAACAGAAATTAATACAAAAATATGATTACTTACATTTACAGTGATATGTATTGTTGAAAATACAAACAGAAATGATTAAATTGTATTACACTTACAGGTGTTTCCTCATCCATCAGGTAGGCACCGTGACCTTTGCTAATAGCCTCTCTGTATTCCCGATGGGCAACCTCTTTATCCTTGACCTCACCAACGATGTGTTTGCCATCAATGAAAGCCTCAAAGCCAACCACTGCGGCCATGTCATCCAGTGGAAACACGTACTTAGCCTCGATTGGATGACTGTTTTCGTTTTTGTAGGCTTGCAATACCACAACCTTAGAAATGCCAAATAAACTTGTCTTTTAAATAATGATGCAATTTAGAGAGAATTTATGCGACTACCTACAGTGGTTAAACCTAATGGAAGTGCCACTCCATAAAGGGCTGCCAAACTTCACACCAATCTAAATTTCTCAGAAGGGTTCTGGGCAGACCCTGTACCTGTCAAATTATTTCACATCAGGGAAATCAACCATATCTTGGGGCCTCCACTGGTTTAAGTCATCCTAAAGCCTTGCAATTACTACGTTGTACATCTGCTTGTCGGTAGCAGTCAGAACAAATCATCATTAAAAACAATCCATTGTGCAATACTAATGCTTACTTACTTGTTACTTGTCTTCCTTGTCGTTTTCTTTCATAGAAAACACATGGCCATCATTAACTGATTTGCATCAGTTGACATAACATTGCCAGGTATACCATGAGAGATCTTACTTTAAAGAAGTGAGCACCTCCTCAATTATTCATATATTTATTTGATTTTTATTTGATTTATTTTTTAAAATTTTTTTACTTACTTATTTTTTTTTTTGCTGGATATTAAACATAAAGGTCTGTCCACACTATACAATTTTATGTGACAAATAAATGTGATATGCTCATTTTTGGTGGCAATATGACATCATCATACCAATACTGATACAGTACTAACTATTAAACATAAGCTCTGTCCACACTCTACAATTTTATGTGACAAATAAATGTGATAAATCTAACCTGAGCAGCAAGGTCCAGGAGCTTGGCTCTGATATGTACTGCTGTCAGTGGAATAGCACAATCATCCTTTGATTGTAACCCTGCCTGCACTTTGTCCAAGGGATCTTTGATTGACTGAACATCATCGATACCTAAAATATTAAGTATAAAATCGAGGTCATAAAAACAGTTGTATCAACAAGCAGCAACAACAATGGCCACAACAATGGCCACAACACCAACAACACCAAAATGAACACCAATAACAGTAGTAACAGCAACAAACTCAACAGCAGCAGGAACAGTAAACCAGCAACAATGTCAACCACAGCAGCAACAAGGGCAACAAAATAAACATCAGCATCAACAGCAGCAGCAAACCAGCAACAATGTCAACAACAGCAGCGACAACAACACAATCGAACAAAATCAACAGCAGCAGTAACCACAGCAAACAGCAACAAAGTCAACATTAGCAAAAACAAAAACAACAATAGCAACAGCAAATGGCTCTAATAAATCCCTGATTAGCTGATATTAAAATGTTAAATAATCTTTGTAGAAATATTTTATGGTTCCCATCAAGGACTGAGTCCTATACTTTCAGATTTGCATTCAGATGCTCTACCAAACTGCGCAATAAGGCCAATTTGATGTACCTCTTTGACTTTTAAACATCAATATTATTATAAAATGTGAGATGGAAATTGCAAATGGCTTTTCTTCTAAACTCCGCCCCTTGGATAATGCGGCCTGTTCTGATTGGTCGGTTGTTAAGTTTAATTGACATCCCAGGAAGGTCTGTTAATTGGCAGCAGGATGTACTTACTGATATCCATCAACTGAACATCATCATCTTCCTCTGGTGTTAAATTCGATGATGTCTGCACAATGTCTGTGATCTTATCTTCAGGCAGTGCAAACTCAATGAGGTAACGAACACGCTGTTGATTTGTATCGTACACAACAAACTCATCATCCTATTATAAAATGTACAAAAGATCACAAACATTTAAAAGGAAAGTTACACAAATCAGCAACAAAATTGGTAGTCTATGACGAGACACCAAAGAACTTATATAGCAGTAGAATGAGGTCTTCGCATATTTTGCTTTAGGCGGAGTAAATACAGTACTAGACCACTTGGTAAAGTGGAGAAAATACAGGAAACAGACAAACTCGAGCCCGCCTCTTGATTTTAAAGATATAGCGCTGCCACTCGGATGAAGTAAATTGCTTATATGTATCCTATCCTCACACAATACATTTCGACCAGAGGTTCCACTAAATCTCTAACTGGTCTTCTATTACCTTTGGAGATATCTTAATAAACTGACTATTGCCATGGTACTTAATTGACCCCAAAAGGAAGATAGTACTATTCATCCAAGGACACAACATGATTGCACCAACGCTCATATTCTCATTCATGGAGATTGACACTTGATTGTGGAGGTAGGTAAGGAGGAAAGCCATTTATCCAGAATAGTGTCTTCCATACCATTAACTATTAGCAAGGAATCAGGAAACAGATATCGGCGTTAGTGAAGTCATGTGGTGTCCTGGAATGGACAGTTTTTCTTATGCAGGTGCTCAATTGTTAACAGTGGTAATAGTCTCTTTATTCAGGAAGAATTAACATAATAGACATAAGAGTTCATAAGCAATCGAGCTCAGGAGGGGACAATTGATTTTTAAAGATAGGTTATGCTGATGTACATGGAAATGTCCCCCTTAATTTAATAACTTTACACTAATCTTAGCTAATGTTGCTTTACCACAAAATCTGACTCCATTCCAATTTCTTTCTTGACTCCATGAACACTATTGTAGCCCTCTGGAGCAGCTGCCAGTTTATAATTCTTAGACTTCATATCCAGACAGTTGCCCAGTGCAACTTCGTTAACCAGCATAAATCGAGAACCTTTCACTGTGCTTCGAGACGAATATTTGGCACTTGTACTAAGAGAAACAAAATATGAATATTCCTGTAAAAATATGAAACCATAAAGACAATAACAGATAGGTGGAATCAGTTAGGGCAACAGCATGGAGCTTTCATTTGAGAACGTAGAACAAGAACTGTAAATCAATTTTGATGTTTTATGCGGAGATGTCATAAGCAAAAAGACTGATACACCAATGTTTAATATAGTACAGTTGGCCAAAAAATGTTTCAGGAGGGAACATAATGCACAACGTGCAAACATGTGCAGTTAAATTAACATGTCATCGTTATGTTCTACATGGCATTCGATTATTCAGGGGGTAGAGAAGGTTGCACTTTGTACTGCTTTGCCAATGTGTTTTATCCAACAACCACTGGTAATACTGCTCTTGTACCTTTGAACATTGGTTTAGAAATTTGTAGTAATATTTAACTATCATTACTATTATTACTGTCATTACCATTACCATTACAATTCCCATGAAAATTACCATTAACGTTATCATTATTAAAAAATTAATGAAAATACACAAATCAGAAGTGAAGTAAATATTCATGAAATATACTAGTAAACAACAACAAAATATAACAACCTTTTCAACAATACGTATTCATTAGTGTATAAAATAAAACCAAGCCAATTCAACAAAACATTTTAAACTATAACTGATAAATTGATTGGTTGAGTAATTAATTGATTGATTGATTGAGTGATAGACTGACTGACAAGCAACTGCTCTACCTGCTGCTGTCTGTAAAATAAATTCCACTTCCAAGGTTGCCAGGATCCGTTCTCTTACCACCGAAATCTTCCACCACAATCTTAGGCAAGAGAAGACCTCTGAAAATCAAACAAACCCGAATGAAATCCATAAAACAATAGATACCAGCCATCAATTAAATTTTGAGATAAAGCAAATAAATAATTTTCACAAAATGTACAAAATACTGAATTATAAAACCTGTAATAAAAAACAACCGAGAAACCCGGTACAGTAGTTTGTTGATTGTTTATATCTCACTACTATCCTAAAAACAACCTGTTATGTATAATAAATTTAACTATAGATTGTTCTTGCATGGTTTGTTATTAATTTTGCACTCTTTTTAATATGATATGAATGATGTATCATTTGATTTTCTTTAGAAAAACAAAATAAAAAAAATCTTTAATCTTAATATGACACCATTGTGCCCATATATGGGCAAATCACACATCTTCACCACAGCTGACTTTAAATATCATGTAAAATTCATATATTGTGATATTATTTATATGATGACTGCATTGGAAGTATAACAATTCCTAATATCATATTTTTTTTTGGGAGACGGTTCGTACGTGGCGCCCTGGGACGGACGGTTCTATTTTATTTCGAAGGGGTGTTCCGTTTTGGGAACAATAGCAATTAGTCGGTTTATCCAGGTATGTATTCCACAAAATAGACTTGATAACGTTGTTATATACAAACCTTGTAAATATCCCTACAAAGTTAGCTGGCTTTGATGCATGAAACAAAAGCTTCTTGTTTCCAATGCGATGTGTAAAGTTTGTCTCTTCAATTGGTCGATTAACAGCGAACACATTCTTTATGTCAAACTGGTTTCTGCTACAAAACACAGGCATTAAATTTGATTCATTATTTTGATCAATTGTTAAAATTAGTCCATTTTTACAAAATTATATTTTCTAAAGAATTTCATCTGCATCATCTTTGAAATTTATACAATTATTTTAAATTCCTTAAGCCCTGTTACGACTATAAAATTATATTTGACAAAAATCTGTTGTATGCCCATATATAGTAACTATGTGTCTATATATAGTCATGATGTGATGTCATCATGACCATATTTAGGCATGTTTCATGTTTTTGTCAAATAAAATTTTATAGTCTGAAAACATTTCTTCTCTGAATTTACCTTTCATTGTTTGATGCAATAAGATCTAAAATTTGTTTGTATTCTGGTGCTGAGCTAGGCAGATGTTCAATGTGGCATCGCAAAGCACGGAACTTGGACTCAATAGTGGAACGCGCTGAGAATTCTGTGGCTTCACTCACACTAACAATATCCTTGATGAGCTGTTCAATCGCAAAACAAATATTGGTTATGAAAATGTCATTAAATTCATGTCAAAACTCCATATTGGAGGGGAGCATTGTGGTTAAACCTGGAGGAATTAGTTTAAACAAAACTAATTCCTTCATGGGTTTAGTAAGTTGTCTTGAAATCCTGGGTCTTACAACAGGAATATTTCAAATATAAACATACCACCAAAATAATTTACAAGCCACGATACTAAAGATGAGTAGAGAGAATGACATCAGGAGAAGCAAGTGCAAAAGCAGGAGGTCTGGAGACACATGAAAAGGACATGGAACAGGGGGTGCAAAAGGAGGAGTGAGAGCAGCAGATAAATAAGAATGAGCACGAGATGGAGTAGGAGGAAGATTTGGAAAAGGAACAGAAGCAAGGGGAAGTGCAGGAGATGGAAAAGAGATCAAAAGCAGACATAAGCAGGAAATGTAACAGGTAACAAGTCAAAGGAGATTTTGAAGCAGGAGAAAGAGAAAGAGTAGAAAAAGGAAGAGAAGAGGAAGAGATATGGACCCAGAGTAGTAACAGATGGCACAGCTAGAGGTGGAGAAGCAGGAGGAAGAGAAGAGACAGAGTAAGAATTTTAAGAGAAGATAGAGGAACAGGAGGTGGAGGAGCAGGAAGTATGAAGAAAAAGAGTAACAAGACAAGACAGAGCGGGAGAAAGAGCAGGAGAGAAGTAGTACAGGATTAGCATGAAAGAGAAAAAGTCAAAGAAGAAGAAAAGTTTGACAATCACATCCTTAGATGACAAAGATATAATACTATAAAACCAAAAAGAGAGATTAATTTACTTACTTGGCAAATATCATGTACTTTCGCAAGCGTTCGTTTTTCCTGAATTGTACTGTGACCTGTTTGAAGAGGAATTAGCTCGAAGAATTTCTTGCTGAGCTTTTCCAGCTCTGGAATACTCTTGCCTGTATCCAGTTCATGTCTTATCTGCAGCAGTGTGGCTTCCGCTTTTTCAACCTAATATTAAATGACAATAATAACTAGAATTGCTCGTTCTATGTGACGCTACTTTTATGGTGCCGGCAGTGCAATTTTTCTCCAGTATAAAACGTCGAAATCTTTGTTTAGGATGATGAGTAATATTAACAGAAGGGGGACGGGCACCCCTCCCCAAATGCTTGCTCCTCAGTCTCCACTTCCCTCCCCCCTACAAACTGGAAATGCTGAGGGAATACAATTATGCTCAACTAATTAATGTCACTTCAGCATCATATCACAGTGAATCTTGCAGCTTAACATTTTTTATGTTGAGGATCATAATAAGGTTAAAGGTTAGTACAATTTGACCTTACCAGGATTTTACAAATCATATGTTTTATGTATGCCCTTTGGTCGCATACTGCACATAAAATTGAGGTTCTGCTTTATAAATCCTTTACTTACCTGTTCTTTGTTGAGGCTTTCTTCAGGTAAAGACAGCACTCCACTAAGCTCTTTGTTTGCCTCCTGCCAGATATGCTCAACAAGTTCAACGACCTCAGTTGATATGGCACCAGACTCAAAGCTCGACTCCAGTGAAATCTTAAGCAAAGAAAGCAAATCAATGCTAAAACCAATAGCAGATTCTAGGGGAGGGGGACAGCTGGGGTAAAGCTGCTGTAATTAAATTAAATTATTCTATAATTTAATTTAAAAATACTGCAGCTCTAAAGTAATTAAATTATAACATAATTAAAATATATAGCAATTATTTATAAAAAAATTCTTAGCAATTCAAGGTATTGCATCTGTTGATAATGCACCAGAAACAGAGTCAGACGTCAGTGAAATATAATGAATAAATGAACCAATTATAATAAAATACAATGAGTTATTAACAGAAAAGTGTCAAGAAATGTGTTCAAAAAATAGCAAGGGAGTACAGCAGTGATTCAATTATAGATTGGTGGTTAAGATGCTTGCTTTCGGTCCAAGAGTCCTGGGATCAATTCCTGTCAGTTTGGCAGGAATTTTTTTCTTACTAATATCCCTATATGCCTCATATTGAGGCATAGGGAGTGAAACAGGCACTAATAACAAGGTGTGAATTCAACTATAGATAATAGATTAAAATGGCTAAAATTCGGAAGCCCATAATACGCAGGTGTTTGGGAACACCCCAAAACCTTTCTGTCTCTATCATAGTTTCGAGCCACTTCAAACCATAGGCCCTTGATCGCCACTTGCACTATCCGGCAAATGAATTCTGGATCCGCCACTGAAATATCTACCTTTCTCTGTTTGTCAGATCCAATCCACCTGGAAATGAACTTGCCACACTTCTTGTAGTTGTGGGCTGGGCCAGTATACAGCCTGTACAAGTGTGCATATGTTTTAAGAGCATCAGAACTAGAATGCAGATAACGACATTCCCTTGTACCACTGGTTTCATTCTGGGGAAAAAAAAAATCTTATTAAGTTTACAAGTAAACAATTGTAGGAAGTTCAATAATAAGATTAATAATATTAATATTAATAATAATAATAATAATAATAATAATAATAA